GCATGGGGCGTGCGCCTGGTGGTGAGAATATCCCACGTTAGAAGTACTATCCAATGCCACATAAACGTCCGCCACTCCTTCCCGGGAAGTTTGTTGTTTTTAAAGGTTTGATGGAAATGTCATATTCAGATAACCCAAATCCTAAACAGGAAAATCGAATTTTTAGAACTCAAATCTGTTCATTTAAAGCACTCTTACATGTTCCTGCAATTGCACATATACAAAATCTCACGATACCAGGGTAACGCCATGGGGTTCACATCGACCGGCCACCGCATCGAGAAAAATTAAGGAATATTGGAAGCATAACGGAAAGAATCAATTGGAAAGGGTGAACATAATTCTCGTGGTCGCTTCTAGTTCACGTGGAAGTGATATTTTGACGAGTGGAATTCCAATAGAAATCCTATAGAATTCCAATACAATTTTCTAGCGAATTCGCTAGGTTTTCTATAGAATTTTTTCATACTGACCCTATAATCTCATGCTAAAACCTATTTTCAGTGCATATCGTATTTTCAATTTCAGGATAATCCACTCGTATTGTCAATTGAAATTGTCATCACATGAAGAAAATAATCCCGTCTGTCATCAATTTTTANTTTCGAAATTCATATAACGCGTCTCGAATATTCTATATCGTCGTATTCGAAACAAACATCATTCTATCCTTGTCCCTCACGAAATTTCTGAACAGTTCTCGAACCTTCCATAACAAAAGGTATTGAAACCCGCACACGCTCCCGACCAAATATATTAGTCGAACTCCGATTCTCAAACTCGATGTAAACACATCTAACGTGCTAAATACAACACTTTTATTCTGCTAAACCACGAGTTATTATTCTACGACATACACCTAACCGCCACATTTTTCTCACACGATTTAATTGGAAATATTCAGAACGAGGGAATATCTCAAATTAAATTGTAAATTTTCAAAAATCTAGTTTTTTCATGTTCATGGGAAAATCTGTAATTTTTTAAGACTCATGGGGGAACATGTGAAATCAATATTCCTGAGGATTAAGAAAAATTAGGTGCAGTAATTTGGAAAAAATAATGTGAACATATATGTTCTTAAACACGGGCTCCTCTGGGATCCATTTTCAAATAGATAGTTCACCTACTCAACGAGTCAAAAAATAAAAATATAAATAGAGGATAATGTGAGGAAATTTTCTGAATCCACTAGTCATACCGGATAAATCTGGGCCACGCAGGCAAATGATGGAATGTTCAAAACTATAGGGGNTACAAATGCATTTAATTGTCCGGCGTCACAGTTACATATCACGGCAGGCTACAAAATCTCACGATACCCGGGTAACGCCATGGGGTTCACATCGACCGGCCACCCNGAACATGTGAAATCAATATTCCTGAGGATTAAGAAAAATTAGGTGCAGTAATTTGGAAAAAATAATGTGAACATATATGTTCTTAAACACGGGCTCCTCTGGGATCCATTTTCAAATAGATAGTTCACCTACTCAACGAGTCAAAAAATAAAAATATAAATAGAGGATAATGTGAGGAAATTTTCTGAATCCACTAGTCATACCGGATAAATCTGGGCCACGCAGGCAAATGATGGAATGTTCAAAACTATAGGGGTGAGTGGGGTAAAATGGACACTTTAGACTTTTGTTTTAATTACTCATAACTCAGAAACAAATTTATCAATTCAGCTCAGTTTAGGCTCATCACAAAAGGAAAGAATTGTTCTTTGTAATGAAGAAAAAATTATTAAATTTTTAAAAATAAAATAGACACATTTCAAGTGTCCATTTTACCCCAACCTCCCCTAAGGATATCTAAGTACATTGGCTATTTTTTCTGCAGTGAAATGCTTTTCTACTTTTGGAATCGAACATCGTTTACAAAATTCCTAGAAATCGAAAAGTTGAAGAGATATACGCGATGGAACTGTTGCACGGCCTAGAGTGCATGGGGCGTGCGCCTGGTGGTGAGAATATCCCACGTTAGAAGTACTATCCAATGCCACATAAACGTCCGCCACTCCTTCCCGGGAAGTTTGTTGTTTTTAAAGGTTTGATGGAAATGTCATATTCAGATAACCCAAATCCTAAACAGGAAAATCGAATTTTTAGAACTCAAATCTGTTCATTTAAAGCACTCTTACATGTTCCTGCAATTGCACATATACAAAATCTCACGATACGGCCACCGCATCGAGAAAAATTAAGGAATATTGGAAGCATAACGGAAAGAATCAATTGGAAAGCGTGAACATAATTCTCGTGGTCGCTTCTAGTTCACGTGGAAGTGATATTTTGACGAGTGGAATTCCAATAGAAATCCTATAGAATTCCAATACAATTTTCTAGCGAATTCGCTAGGTTTTCTATAGAATTTTTTCATACTGACCCTATAATCTCATGCTAAAACCTATTTTCAGTGCATATCGTATTTTCAATTTCAGGATAATCCACCCGTATTGTCAATTGAAATTGTCATCATATGAAGAAAATAATCCCGTCTGTCATCAATTTTTTAAAATTAAAATTGTCTTTTGAGTACTTGCAATTTTGCATAAACATCCTTAACCTCATTGTCACGTATCCCCACTTTCTAAACGAAAATATTCACTTAAAAATTACCTGACTGAGACATATTCTCGGCGGGACCTGCAGCCGGCATAAACTCCTCAATATCGAAGTTGTCATTGTCATTTCAATTATTTAACAACAATTACTCCAATTACTCAGTGACATGTAGGTTATGGATGACGCAATCACGTGTAATTCATCGAGGATTGTCAACAAAAATTGTTTTCCAACCCTCAATAACGAAAGAGAACTCAGTTAATCACGACAGTTGATTGCTCTACCAAATTGTCATTTGATAATTATTGATACAAATGCATTTAATTGTCCGGCGTCACAGTTAGTTATCACGGCAGACTACAAAATCTCACGATACCAGGGTAACGCCATGGGGTTCACATCGACCGGCCACCGCATCGAGAAAAATTAAGGAATATTGGAAGCATAACGGAAAGAATCAATTGGAAAGGGTGAACATAATTCTCGTGGTCGCTTCTAGTTCACGTGGAAGTGATATTTTGACGAGTGGAATTCCAATAGAAATCCTATAGAATTCCAATACAATTTTCTAGCGAATTCGCTAGGTTTTCTATAGAATTTTTTCATACTGACCCTATAATCTCATGCTAACACCTATTTTCAGTGCATATCGTATTCTCAATTTCAGGATAATCCACTCGTATTGTCAATTGAAATTGTCATCACATGAAGAAAATAATCCCGTCTGTCATCAATTTTTTAAAATTAAAATTGTCTTTTGAGTACTTGCAATTTTGCATAAACATCCTTAACCTCATTGTCACGTATCCCCACTTTCTAAACGAAAATATTCACTTAAAAATTACCTGACTGAGACATATTCTCGGCGGGACCTGCAGCCGGCATAAACTCCTCAATATCGAAGTTGTCATTGTCATTTCAATTATTTAACAACAATTACTCCAATTACTCAGTGACATGTAGGTTATGGATGACGCAATCACGTGTAATTCATCGAGGATTGTCAACAAAAATTGTTTTCCAACCCTCAATAACGAAAGAGAACTCAGTTAATCACGACAGTTGATTGCTCTACCAAATTGTCATTTGATAATTATTGATACAAATGCATTTAATTGTCCGGCGTCACAGTTACATATCACGGCAGGCTGCACTTTTATCGACACGTAAGACCGAAGAATTTTTTTGGAGCGCGCAAGCGCAGTGAGGCATTTCACTCAGTGGGTAAAACCACTCTCTCTGCATCGACACGAACATGTCAAAATCATATTGAGTTCGATGGTTCTGAAGTGTCTGGAAGTGCCCGAGGAGATTCTCCCGGAGATCTCATGATTTAACCTCAGAGGTCTCGTCAACGATGAATAGATTCGAGTACAGGGAGTCCAGGCTGTTGCCCAATGAGGGCTACGTCCGGAGGGATCATCCTGTGAGGCTGTACGATGGGGACACGAGGGTGAGTCGGTTGATTCCAAGATTATTCCCTTCGACAATCAGATGGATGAACAGAGTGAGAAGTTTCTACAGGGTGGCCCAAAAATCATCGTACATGTGAGAATAGCTCGGGGGGGTTATTTGTAGGGGAAAAGTTCAAGGGAGAATACTATGAGTTTTAAAAGTCGCGGGCCATTGGAATAAGATTTCTCACACCTGGTGCAAAAAAATTTATTGTTCATTGTTCGTTTGCCCCGCGGGCTATTGGAATGAGATTTCTCATGCATTGAAGATCGATTCCATACGTCTGAAAACGAATAATTGGTGCAAAAAAATCAATTGTTTATTGGTTGTTACCCCGCAGATGCTTAAAATGTTATGAATAGTTCAGAGCCTATTTTTAAAATAAAATAGCTCGTAAAATAGCCCGAAAAATGTTTCTGAAAGAATCGAGAATACATTTCAAATATTTTAAGGATAATTTTTCTACCTATTTTACATGAATGGCGCAAATTTTTATTTTAAGCAAAACGAAATTAGCTGTGTGAAAGTCGAATTTCAAAAAACCAATTCGTAATTGTTATTAATTGCACGCTTGTAATTGTAATTTTAACAGAATGGTGGACTAAAAAATTTGTTTAGATATCCTTTTGACTAAGTTTGAAGATGAAAACGTATAGCAATAATCGTTTAATTTTTATTTATTTGAGAATCAGAATTTCCGGGACATCTTTGAATATAATGCTTAAAATTACTTTTCAATCATAGCTTAAAATGTTTGATTTAATGACATTAAGTCGAAGTTAAAAGATGACTACGAAGGCTATATTGGTTGATTTGATTTTTACGTTGATTGCTGAAAATATCGAATTTTTCATGAATTTCCCTGAAGGTGAGCTTTCCAATGGTTTTTTCAAATATGATGTTTCAAATTCATTCAATTATATATAAATAACATTTTTCGAATAACATTTTATCGGAGGGGAGAGATAGAACTGAGAAAAAGACAATTGGTTGTATAGGGGAGGGTCGGGCAGAATGGGACGTGTTGAAATCTTTTCCAATTGTCAATATCTTCATTTATAAGTGAAGATATTAACAACTAGAGAAGATCACGAAAAGTCCCGTGTTGCCCGGCTCTTCCCTAGAAGAAAGGAATGATAAGAATAATGATGATGATAAAATTCGTCCAAGTTGAAAATCTCACAAAATTAACTTTAAAAAAATCTTATTGAATTTAATAAAATTAAAAAAACAATGAGTAATACATGACAGAAGGGAATGATGTGCAAAACAACCATTCGGAAGCATATTGCTAATTTATTAGCAAAAATAACTATATTATATGGAATACAAGAGCAATTTCCCACTTGTTTCAATAAAAGTCGAACTGAATTTTCTAGCGAAGGCGTTAGAATTTTTATGGGATTCTTCAATACATGTGATTCCTTTATAATTTCACATCCAGATATCATGGATTTACTCCATATATTATGAATACTCATTACTCATTCCTCATTCCATTATAAATAATCGTCGCATCATTTCAGAGTTTTCTCTTCATTGTAGCCCTCTACGAAAAAGTATTTGTTTACTCGAAATTAATCCTTTCTTCATAGAATTGTTGGATTACTGCAAATCTGAGGGAATTTCAATTTTGAATGTTGTAATATCCCTAAACCCTTCCATAAATTCCATCCCATACATTAACTCCTCGACATAAGTTATCAAGTGTCGAAATTTGCTTGCAGACGAACTTTGTAGGAGGAGAGGTGGTGTTAACGAGTCACAGGCTCATCTGGGGGCGTCCTCAGGACGTCGCCCAGGGTCAGGTCTGTCTATCCCTCTCTCTGAAACATGTAGTGTTCTTCGAGGAAGACAATGCAGGGGTTTTCTCCTTCAGCAGGAGTAAAAAGGTGGTTGTACACTTGGCAGAGCCTTCACCAGGTGAATAAAATGTTCAAATGTTACTTGATTGCCCACACGACCTTTTCATCCTGAGAAATTCTAGATTTTAGGACACTTTTCCATGTTAATTCCAGTAGAAATTTCGGACGATAACTAAATCTACTTATCAATCATCACTTTTGAGAGCTCAAAAGTATATCAACACCTTCATAATGACAAGCGTATCTACAAAGGGAACTCATAGAACTTACGCTGTCTGTTATTAAGGTGTCGATATCATCTTAAATCTCAGTATTTATCAAAATTTTTCATTACTTCCCAAAAATATTTTTTGACATATTTTTCGAAAATTAATTATTTCTGAGATAAATTCACAGTTAAAGGGAGATCGCACTGAAATTTCAGTATCGCATGGGTCTTTATTTATTGTGATAATGACTTTACTACTTTAGTTTTAATGCAAAAAGATGAGAAAAAATTAGGTTTTACAACTTTGATGGAGTTCTATTTGAATTCTGATGAAATCGTATGTAAAATTCTCTTCCGTTTTACAACTTTCTTGCTAGGAAACAGTCAATAGTTGTTAAGTTACTACTGTTGAGAATTATTTCCATCAAAATGCTCAGTCATGAAATTTCCAATTTTTTTTTTCTTGAATTTTGTAACGTGAATCAAACAAATCTGCTGTTTCAATAGAAATTCAATAGGATTTCTTAGAGAAAACACTAGGTTTTTCCATTGGTTTCTTCCCTAGATGCTACTTGAGGTAATTTAAAAACTTTGAAAAAACCTGGAATAAATTTCATGATAATTTCAATAATCCTCGAATCCATTCCTAGACAAATTACCAGGGCCAGTGAGCAACGGCTTCCACATGTACATAAAACTGTCCTTCAAAGAGGGCCTAGACCCCGGGTTTCTCTCAGACTTTGCCGATGCCATAATGAAGAAGACCTGGGAGATAATGCCGATAATGCCAACAATATCGATGTCTGAAATAAGTATCCAGGGGCAATCGGAAGGTGGGACTCAGCTTCGAATAATAAAAACACGAACTGGAATAATAGGAATCGAGCGCAGCCTTCAGGAACGCCAGAAAGCCACAGACAACAGCATCTCCATGGCGTTCCAGGACCTGCGGAAGCTCATGGAGATGGCGAAGGACATGGTGACGATATCGAAGACGATATCAGCTAAAATAAGGGTGAATGTCGGTTTTGAGAATGCAAGAGTTTTCCGAGAGCACTTGTAATTGTGGGGAAATTGCAGGAACGACAAGGGGACATCACTGAGGATGAGACTGTGAGGTTTAAATCGTATCTGATGAGCATGGGAATTGATGATCCTGTCACGAGGGATGCGTACAAAACGAGTAATGAGTATTTTAGGCAGTTGGCTGTGCAGCTTTCGCAGATATTGGAGGAACCGTTGAAAGTAATTCTTTTTTGCACTTTGTTTTTGAGTCTATGGATTATCTTTCGAGCGTTATCTCAATTGTTTTCCTCGATAATTTTACCTAAACCCCTTCGATTCGAAGGTTTTTATAAAGTAAACTCATTAATTAAAGAATTACAGTCCAGTCTCCGTACAAGATACGCGACAAAGGGGCTAGAATTGAGTGGGAATGGAGTTGAGATATTGCAGAATTTACTGGAAATATATGCATCTATGATCTAGAACTTAATTGAGTTTCAAAACGAATAGGCACTCGTTACAGTTAATAAAAAAAATTAAACGCATCGGTCATAAAACTTGGTAAAATATCTATTTTTTACACGTATTGCACCATGCGTTTTACGTCTATTTTTTGAATGGATAGATAAGCAAAACAAAACAAAATTCCACCCAATTTTTATGAAACCCAAAATTCCAACGAAAGTCTCAATTTTGCCTTGCAGGCCCTTATTATCAAAGTAACTTATTCCGAATTTCTAAATTGTTATTTTAAAAAGAACCAATACCTTCTAATCAAACATGCATGTCTCACATCAGGAATCGCACTCAAATGATTATAAAAATGGAAATTGATTAATTTCTTGTACGACGAATATCAAATCAAAATATTTTCTCCTCTGAGCGCTCAGGTAAGGCGGGGGATATGTAATTCTCGGAATTTTATTCCCCTTGTGGTATCTTGTACGAAGATTGGACTGTAAATTGAATTTCATTGAATTTGTAGGAAGTTGGAGGAATGATGACGTTGACCGACGTTTATTGCCGAGTGAATAGAGCCAGGGGTCTGGAGCTCTTATCGCCAGAAGATTTGCTCAATGCCTGCAGACAACTGGCTCCATTGAGCCTCCCTGTGGTCCTTAGAGTGTTCGATAGTGGAGTTATGGTGCTACAAGCTAGATCACATGATGATAATGCCGTTGTTGAGGCTCTTGCTGAATTGGTAAATACCATTTCTCATCAATTTATTGTCATCCGAATTCAGCAGTGAAGTGCCAACACATTCAATTTTCCAAATATTGAATTGTCCCAATAATGAGTAATTTCTAAATAATCAATGCCAAGGACAACTTTTTATCAGATATTCTGTGAATGTTGTAAAAAAAATGTTGGCATTTTTTTAAAAATTAATCATTGCGACATTTCAAAATTGCAGGAATTATTTATTTATCGTACTGATGAGTTTACTATTTCAATATTGATGTGAAAAAAAAGAAAAAATTAGGTTTTGTTTGTTTTTTGATAGAATTGGGGGTTTATGTGCTACACTTTTAATACCAAAGGGGTTATAAATCACATTGAGATAGAATAATAAATTACAGATATCTTTAAAAAATACTTAAAACATGAATAGAATATTAGAATAGGAAAAATCATCAATTCAGGAACGAGAATGTTCTGTATGTGAAAACCCAAATATTCTGATTTTAAAAAATTTTGCAAAAATTACTGTGAATTAGAACTTGTTCTTCACTGTAAACTAAAGACGTCTTTAGTTTACAGTGAAGCATAAAAATTACTGTAAATTAGAGAACATTTTACTACTTCACAGCAAAAAATATCTTTTACTGGAGTTTCTTTGGCATTTTATTCTTATTGAAAAATTTCACATCTAATTTTCATGTGTGTAATATTTTTTCCACAGCTAAAAGACAGAGGATCAATCACTGCCGAGGAATTAGCCCAATCCGCAGGAATCTCCATCGTCCTAGCCCGAGAGAGACTCCTGGTAACTGAAAAGTACGGAAAGGCCTGCAGAGACGACACAATCGAAGCCCTCAGGTTCTACCCAAATCTATTCCTCGAAGAAGTTTCCTGAGTTATCATTTCCCGCCGAAAAATAATGTCTATATTTTTCTGAGTGATTGTAAGTGGCTACTCATCAAGAACAATTTAGTTCTGCGTATTTTGAGATTGAAAATGCCTCTCATGGAATTGTGTAACATGTTGAATAAACAAATTTATTTTACGAATAATTTCATAAAAATGTGAATTTTTTTAATTAGTTAATACGTAAACAATCAGTCGATGAACCAGGACTAGTGTTATTGGAAAATGCATTTATTGTTTGATTTCGCTGCATCCCCCCCCAGGGACAAACTCCTCTGCAAATCATCTTCTAAATATTTTTGAGACGAGGAGGATCAAAAGAATTCATTAAATGTATTTTCTATAGAGAATTTTGAGACCTAGAAAGCTCATTTAGTCAAGTTCTACTCAAATCTAATTCTCCAAGAAATCCCCTGATTTTTTATTTCTCCTGGAAAATATAGTATACATTTTCCTGAGTGATTATAAGTAGTATTCACCCACAAAATAGAATATTACATTACAAGTTTGAAAAAGGGGGAAGGTGAATACTTTCCCAAGCGGTTCCACGACTAATAAACACATGAATTTTGTTGTTCATCTCCATGTTCATAAATAGTGCTCCCTCTGACCAAGTGTTGGTGTTGGTCTGTGGAATGAATTGACGCGTTGAGATCAAATTACAATACGGTAATTAGTCCTGTCACCGTAATCCTCGAAAAAGTCTATTGAGTTTTCGTTTTTTCCGAAAAATGACGTCTACATTTTCCTAATTGCTTGGAAGTTGCTACTCATCAACAAAAATTTATTTCTGCGTATTTTAAGATTGAAAATACCTCCCATGGAACTGGGCAACTTGTTGAATAAACAAATTTATTTTACGAAAAATTTCATAACAGAAATTGCATTTTTGAAATTACTCAATACGTAAACACTCGGTCGATAAAGCAGGACTAGTGTTATGGGAAAACGCATTTTCCACTTGGTTTTGCTACGTCCCACCAGCGAATTCCTGAGTGACATCATCCTTCCGTTTCTTTTTATAAAATTTGTGGCATAACGTGATCACAAGTAATGGAAAATATTTGAGAATTCCTGTGAACTTTGGCATTCTTGAATGGAAATTGCTCATAGACATTTCTCCGTCATCTCCAAGGCTCCAAAACGAAATTTTTTAACACTTTAGGAGTAGATTCACGAAGTTTCAAGGTCAGTACAATCACCCTGACTTATACCCTCACTTTTTTTCATCTATTTGAAGTTTTTGAGTCTGTTTTAAAGAATTTTTGTGGTTCTTCGGGTGCAGGTTATGTCCTTTCTGCATTTTCAGGAGTTCATGCAGCAGTAAATGGTGGTTTTATAACTCGTGAAGAGTGTAGGACACAATCGGGATTGTTTCTTATATATTTGTCGATGGGATTTATTGATGATGAGCTCAAAGAAATTTCAAAACTCTGTGAAAATGTCGTTGAAGGTAGCAAACTTGTCTGCTGTGTGCCAACTCAGGTCAGAGTGGAAATAACGTGAGTAGGAGGCTATTCTAATGGAGCTACGGGGCACCCTCGGTTTTCAATCGTGCAGTGACCAATCGCGTATCATTATATTTTTTTATCAATTGAATGTCATGAAGGATATCCAAGTATCTTTTACAATTTGGTACAGACCACACTAGATTTAATTATTTTCAATCACGAAATTTGCTATTTAATTTTCGTTAGAAAAATTCGAAAAAATTATGAATAATATTCAGCATTATTCAAAATGTTCAACATACACTCTTCACAGAATTATTATTTTTTTAAGCATTCATTGTTTATAAATAAATAATTGAAATTGTTTAAACTTGCGGAAATACTATTTTTTAGGCATGATATCAATTTCTAAAAAAATTCAGAATATGAGTAAGTTCGTTACGATTCTGAACAAATGATTTTTATGGTCTAAAATTGATGGTTTATAAATTATTTACAAAAAAGGCAATTTTTAAGTTATTTCATCAATCTTCCTCCAAAAGTAAACTTTCTAATTTTTTTTCATATTTTTAAAATTTTTTCTAACGGTTCATTATCGAGAATCAAATTCGGAAAGATTCCATGAAATAAAACTCAATATTTTTCTTCATTATTTCAAATAGAATATTGTGAATCTATCTCAAATAGTATCTCGAATATTGTCATTCTTCTTCACATTGATCGATAGATTCCATTGAACAAAATTCGATAGTTTTTTTAATTATCTCAAGTAGATCATGGGATAACCAATTCTTTTGGTTTACTCATTTTTTTCATTTTTGCATGCCATATCAAAAATATTGTTTGGAGCAGTTGATTTTTCATCAACCTCAACATTTTTCAGTATAGCCCGGTGGCCTGGCGTAGTGGTTAAGGCCGTTGCCTCACAACGGATAGGTTCCAGGTTCGATTCCTGGCCGGGTAGAATGGTGAGATCTAACCATTTTTAAAGTCTTGATCAATCGCCATATAGTCTCATCAGACTCGAAGCGATATAAAATAAGCATAAAAAAAAAAAAAAAAAAAAAAAAAAAAAAAATTTCAGTATTAAACACTTTTTCCATCCCTTGTGCATAAAGTGATATCCCTCTTTCCACACATTGTGATGAAAAATAAGGTTCGTCATTCCTGGAAAAGTATTCTTTGATCCTTGGGAGGACAGGACTCGCCTTCGGCGAAGTGCCCTTTTTGGGCACGAGTGGGTAAAGTTCAAGAGCTGCGTAAAGTGAAATTCGAGTGCGTAAAGCGAAGCGTGCGTAAAATTTCACTTTACGCGCAAGTCATAAAAAAAAAGTTCACCGATTTCCAAGCACTTTTTATGAGGGTGTCCCGCAGCTCTATAATCCTTCCTTAAACTTCGTTTATTATTCGTTTTTTCAAGTGGGTTATTGTGATCTTTGCAACAGGAAAACATCGTTCAAGAAAATTATAACTTGCATACAGTTCTCTGAAGGCTATCCTGCAGACGTGCTTCTTATTGAATTAAAAAGTAAAACTTTGTCGCCAAAGTTATTATTGGGTTTAACTGAAGTTTGTGAGAAAGAGTGCAAGAATCGTTTGGGAAGGGCACAGGTAAATAATAAATTAATTGCATTATTTCTGGATTTATCCAAGGAGGAAATTCAACAAATTCGTCAATTTTTTTTGTAAATATTCTTCAAATGACCGAGGAAAATTCATCACAGAATAATTTTTCTATGCCTTGAAATTTTCTATGGAAAAGCCATATTTAATCAATTCTTTTGAACTTCTTCATTCCATAGATATTTACAAAATAACTTGTAGAATTTTGTTTTCTTCTTTTAAGATTTCGATAAACAATTGAAATCATAAACACTACATTATCAATCAATCAATTTTTATGATTCAATTGTTTACGGAAATCATAAAAATTGATTGATTTTTAATGTAGTGTTGAGTTTGTCCAGGTTCTGCAAAATTAAAAATTCAATTATTCAGTTCCAAAAATTATTCATCGTTTTTTCTAGACCTCAAAATTCTCTTGAACTTATTTGTTCCAAAGATATTTCCAAAATGACTTGCAAGACAATTTTTACTCCTTTTTTATCACTTCGATGTAGAAGAAAGAGAAGTGATTATTAGCGTAATGATTATTTTGTCCAGGTTTTGCTAAATTTGAAGTTCGGGAAGTCAATTCCAAACAATTATGTGGTTTCTTCGTAAATATTCTCAGGGGAAGAAATAGAAGGAAAACCATTAGAAAAATAACTATTCTCGGCATTAAAATTCTCTATAGAAAAATCTATTTGGAAAATTCTCTTGAATTTATTTGTCCCAATGATATCCACAAAATATTTATGATACTATTTTTTGTTCTTTCTTTATCACGTCAGCATAAAATAGAGAGGATTAATTGTTGACGTAATGATTGATTCATCCAGGTTCTGCCAATTTTTAAATTCAAAAATTCATCAAACGATACATTTCCTAGGCCTCAACATTCTCCACGAAAAATGAAAATTCAATAAATTCTCTTCATCCCCTTCAATTTAAAAAATATTTACAAAATAATTTGCAGTCGATTTTTTTCTCATTTATCTGACATTCCAATGCAGAATGGCTATAAATGAATGGAATTAGCAGTTAAAAATGTGATTATGTTGTCAGGTTTTGCCAACTCTGAAATTCATAAAGAATTTTATTGACGAAAATCCGTTGATTTGTTGCTACGATGAAATCAACTCCGTAAAAGAGCTCCTCAAGGAGACAGACAGTCTCAAATTGCGACAAAAATCATCGACAATAAATCTCGAGGTGCACCAAGGTCTCTATTACTACAAAGCAAAGCTCTTCGTGCCAGACGATTATCCTTTGTCATCAGTGAGGTGAAGAACTCCATCAAAATTGAATGAATCTATGGAATAATTGACGCTCAAACGTAGTTAATGAAAATCCAATGAAATTAATTCAATTACAGCATCAATTCAGACGCCGAGACTAATCTCCCTCCTCTGTTCGTTCGTTTCCTCTGGGGCCAGGGAAGAGAATTAGGACGTAAATGTGTCGAGCCTCCACTGAGGAAAAAGCCGAATCAGATATTCACACCTTCTCCTTCTCTCAAGACAGTTGCGTCATTCTTAATAACGTGAGCATTACTCAAACAACTTTAATTGATCACTAAAGTGGAATCATGAATTATGCAATGTGTAATTCTGTGAGGAACTGTAATGTTGAAGCCGGTAATATTCCTTTCCAGAACTGTAAAACAAATTCCAAACGAGCACTGTCAGCTCTGCAAGTCAGAATGCCTTCCCCCAAATCCAGAGGAGGCTGTTGTAGACGAAAATGCAGATACGCATGTGGAGAAATTGTACTGTGGTCATCTGTTCCATTTGAAGTGCTTCAGAACATATATGAACACTCCTCCATTCCATGGTGATTATGAATCTAATAATTTTCCTGGTTTATTAAAGGAGACTGGGGCAAAAAGAAACAGGCGAAACGACTGTTTGACGTAATTCAAGAAAAAAAGATTTTTTTGTCAAGGTCTGGATCTATTATCTGTGGAACGTTAGCTAGATTGCTGTTTCTGTTCGATTTTCATCTCTAAAATTTAACTCGATGCTCCGTCACTCGGGGACACACGAAAATTCTGAATTTAGATTTTTGAAAAAGTAAACACAATTCTGAATTCTGAATTTTAAGAGAACATTTTTAATCGTAATAAAAACCTGTTTTCTAGGGATGCACCTTAAGGATCTAAGTATTTTTTACAATTTGATACAAACGACACTATTGATTCAACCATTTTCAATCATCAAATTTGTCAATTAAATTGTGTAGAAAAAAATCATGAATATTCAGCGCCACTCAGATTAGATTTTGCACAGAATTATGATTTTTCTAAACCTTCGTTGTTCATAGATAAATAATTAAAATTGCTTAAACTTTCGGAAACCTTATTTTTTCTAAAATTCTGAATATGAATAAATTTGTTACGATTCCGAAGTTTAAATAGTAAAATCGTTGTAAAATGTCCGGAAACTTAGGGCCAAATGGGGCTCAAGTGAAAGCCTCTGATGCTCGACTACAAAAGTAGAAAAGCATTTCACTGGAGAAAAAATGGCCAAAGTATTTGGATATCCTCAAGTCATAAATTCGTGAACTGATTATGAACTAGCTTTATTCAAATAATATTCTCAAATTGTGGATGAAATTCTCATTGAATTATGAAATGCAGTGTCACGCATTAAAAAATTTAATAGAAAATCTGGCGAATGCGCTAGAAAATTCTATTGGAACTCTATGGGATTTCTATAGGATTTCTATTGGTATTCTATTGAAAAATTCAATTTTTTTGGCCTGATTCTATTGGATATTCGATAAGAAAAAATCAATAGATTTCGAATTTCTGTTAAAATTTTTCTCTTGAGATTTTTTCTATTAGAATGCTTGGGCATCAAATTTCTGATTTTTTTTCACTGGGATTCTACAATGCAAAACAAAACAAAATCCAGCGGAAAAAAATTAGAAAATTTTGTGCACAATAATTCTAATAGAAGAAATTTAAGAGAAAAATTCAAACAGAAATTCGAAATCTATTGACTTTTTCTTACTGAATATCCAATAGAATCAGCGCAAAAAAAAATGTTTTTCAACAGAATTCCAATAGAAATCCTATAGAAATCCCATAGAATTCCTATAGGATTCCAATAGAATTTTCTAGCGAATTCGCTAGGTTTTCTATTGAATTTTTCCTTGCGTGGTTTCATAAAAAACTATTCATTTCCCTCAAGAACAAAATAAAGAATGCAACAAATATTTCAGGGGGTAAAAAATGTCCGGGCTGTGGACAGCGTGTCTACCACGATAAATGGGGACTGACTGATAAACTCGCCGAAGACAGATGGGCACATGCACAGGCTCGTGCTCGAGAGCTCGCCGAAGTCGTTGATTTCTTCGAGTGATACACGAGTCATCGATGAGCAAGTGCATCATTTCGAATTCCGTGCAATTTACAAGGTTCGTTGCAACTCATTGACAGTGAAGTGATGTGGAAAATAAATTAAGATTCAGTACCTGTTTTTTATTTAATTGAATAAACAACAGCAAAGGGGAAATAAATATTTAGGAGGAAAAAGGAGAAATTGAGAGCTCGGAAAATCCTTTGAAATTTATACTGATGGTTTTCGTTGAGTATCTAACTAATATGTGGCATCGTAAAAGTTATATATCGCCCATGTATTGATCCTCACTACCGACTCCGGTGGATCCTCTGCTCGCATTCCCCTCGGTACCTCGGCTTCACGGCCTCATTTATCCTTGCACCTTTTCACTCTCCCTGGGCTTTTTTTCTAAACAATGTTTATATTTATTTATTTATTTATTATTTCTCATTGGTTCATTTGAGTCCCACAGCGTCAGCCAATAATGGGACTCATAGCGTATGCATTACAGTATTGTGCACATACGCTATAAATAAATAACTAAATAAATGAATGAAAAATAATTCAATAAATAGTCAATTATACAAAGTCCTATTGGTGATGGCAAAGGGAGTCATGAGATAGATGGATTACTGAATTTAGATTTCGTTACATATCTTTCGCAAGTATCAATAGAAAAAATCTTTCGCAACTTCATGAACTTTATGCCACAATGAACTTAGTGAGTCGTTGAAAATATCTATTTGAGAGTATCTCTCCGTGAAATTAATGCCGTCGCTGATGCCGTTTTTATTCTACGGTGCAAAATGTTTATATATAATATTTATAAATTAAGAACGAGTCAATAAATAAATTGTGGAAGTGCATAGTTTTTGATTTCAAGTTTGTATGTTGTATTGATGTAGTGTCGGAACATAGTGATTTAGATGTATCTGATACAAAATTAAAGAGGAACTTGTTTTTGTTGTTTGAAATATTGGTAATTAACAATTACCTTGTCATTATTCTGTTCATCATTTTTAGTGATTAAAGTATTGCGTATATTGACGGAGGAAAGTAGTTTCTGGTTTCTAGAACCACGGTACTGCAATTCAGAAAATGATAATGTGTATGTAGGAGAACAGACGCGAATTTTCCGAGGAAACTAATTTTTTTCGTCACATAATAACAGTAAGAATTGAAATCAACAAGAAAATTGAGCCGAACTCAATTAGGTAAATAATTTGAAAGGGGTGACTGAGTCGAATTCTGGTCTTTACGGGGTTCGTACCAGCTGCGTCCCCGTCGCGAACTCTGAGTACTGCTAAGTGCTGGTGAGGCTTGATATTTTAGTAAAAAGTGCTTCACTACACATTGAATTGATATGAACACCTCATACGTTCAAATGTTAAAAAAATACGTTTAGAAGGAAAAGCGTAAGAAGGAAGATATTGTTCCGTTAAAGATCCGATCAATTAGCCCCTCATGTATAGATATTCCAAATTTTTATTTTTTTCCTCATTGAAGTAGTTTTGAAGAAAATTGCGAGCTAATAAAAAACATTTGCTAGTTAGTACTTTTTTTAAAATAAATTTTTGAAAAATCACCCCTGAAAAAAAGGCGTTATCCCCCCTATTTCATTATTTCCAAAAAAATTTATCACCAATCGGTAGCAAATTGTTTGAAGATTTTTGCGAGTTAAGAAAAAATCGTCAATGCACTCCTATTATTGTGTAAATTAACAATTCCAATTTCAACTGAAAACCAGAGTTGATGACCAGAGTTTGTAGCAGAGATGTCAGACAAGATATGAATGTTTTTTACGGCTCAAATGAAAGAGCGGGTCGGGAAATGGCGTGCAGAAGTCTTTAAAGATGACAAATCTCTCTAAAGATGATGTCTGTTTTCAATTGAAAAGCGCAATTGTGACAACATTGTCCAGTGGGGTCTAGGAGTCTCCCCTGGTTCAAAACCATCTTTAGAGGTCCTAGCACGCCATTTCTCGACCCGCTCTTTCGTTTGAGCCCAAAAAAACATTCATATCTTGTCTGACATCTTTGCTACAAACTCGGGTCTTCAACTCGGGGCTTCAATTGAAAGCCCGAGTTGTCGACACGAGTTTGTAGCAGCGATGTCCGACAAGATTTGAATGTTTTTTTGGGCTCAAATGAAAGACCGGGTCGAGAAATGGCGTGCTAGGGCCTCTAAAGTTGGTTTTGAACCAGGGGAGACTCCTAGACCCCACTGGACAATGTTGTCACAATTGCGCTTTTCAACAGACATTGAAACTTTTGCGAGAACGCGAGAACTCGCGAAGCTTGCACTTCGCGTTAAATCGCGATGTTAACATCATTATGGGAAGTGCTACTTAAGTTGAAATTTAAGTTTAGACTTGTCTCAAGAAGGGGGGCCGAGAAATCCCAATTGTACGGGGCGTTTTCAAATGCCGGCGATCTTCGCGAGAAATCGCGAAGTTTGCACTTCGCGTTAAATCGCCATGTTGACATCATTGTGGGAAGTGCTACTTAAGTTGAAATTTAAGTTTAGACTTGTCTCAAGAAGGGGGGCCGTAGAAATCCCAATTGTACGGGGCATTTTCAAATGCCGGTGATCTTCGCGAGAAATCGCGAAGTTTGCACTTCGCGTTAAATCGCCATGTTGACATCATTGTGGGAAGTGCTACTTAAGTTGAAATTTAAGTTTAGACTTGTCTCAAGAAGGGGGGCCGAGAAATCCCAATTGTACGGGGCATTTTCAAATCCCGGCGATCTTCGCGAGAAATCGCGAAGTTCACACTTCGTGTTAAATCGCCATGTTGACATCATTGTGGGAAGTACTACTTAAGTTGAACTCGAAGTTTACATTTGTCTCAAGCAGGGGGACGGTGGAAAACATAATTGTTTAGGTTATTTCCAAATGCCGGCGATCTTCGCGAGAAGATCGCACCTCGCGTTAAATCGCGATGTTAACGTCATTGTGGGAAGTGCTACTTAAGTTGAAATTGAATTGAATTGAGTTGTCTCGGCCGCCAAATTCACACGCGTGAAAATTTCGTTTCCCCTATAGCGACAAATACTATTTTCTATTCCGTCTTCCCTCCTCTGCTTGAGGTATTTTATATTGGAAATGTTCTCCGCGATGGAGCGATTCCAACGTATCGTAGGTGCAAATATTTTTCTGCATGGTTCATGTGTGCACTTGTTGTATCATATTTTACTCGGTATTGGTTGCACTAGGGGGTTTTTATAGACCATGGGATATTATTTACGGAGGTATAATGTCGTGCCCATGAGTGAGGTGCGCCGGAGTCGTTATTCTTTGTAAACTTGACTCTAAACCCTTTTAGTATTCACTTAGTTTATCCTCTTTACATTTCAAAATGGAAAAATTGAGAAAGTGGTGGTAGTTGGGATAAACTGTGAGTTACATTTGTGAGAAATTTTTTTTACAATAAAAATGAATGAAATCTTATCAAAAAGCGATTGGAATTTTCACTGATGTTCCAATTCGTTTCATGGTTTTATGGATAATTCTTTTTGACAATTTTTTTGAATTTTTTTCTGACCTTTTTGAATGGAGAGAACGGAAAAATGAAGAAAGTGATAGCTCGGAGGCATTTTTTACATGAAAAATTTATGAAAATACCATCAAACAGCGATTGGAGTTGTCGGTAAGTTCTCAATTGATTTATCATTTTCATCAAAGATACTTGCTTCACATTTGGCTCTAAATCCCTTATCCTTCCGTTTATCCTTCTGACTTATTTTTTAATTAAAGAGATGATGGCAGGGGTGCGCTGAAAGAAAAAATTATTTTGGCCAAAAAACCGATAACCGATGTTCCACAGAGGAGATCTATTATTGTGTTGAATCAATTTAGTCGTAGGTGATGAAGAAAATTTCCACCAATAAATCATCATTTCCGTTGTAGTAATTATTTTCATAAGACATTTATGTCTTTCAGGTATACACACTAGTTCTACAGAGAATTAGATGAGACTCTGGCTTTGTTAAGTGAATGTTAATGAATAGTGTATATATTTTCTGGTAAACACTCATAATTTCTATAGAATGAATGATAAAATTAAGAGAAAACTTGGATTTTCTTCCCGAACATTGTTGTGGCAGAACTAAATACTTTCCAGGGGAACAATGTCCCCGCGGTATTTCTAATGGTCATGACGAAAGTCAGATTTTTGTGCAAGATTTTTAATTTCTTTCTATCAGGTTGGTTTATTTCCCTGAAGTAAATCTATTCCACTGCATCAAATATTCTCAGGTGGAACATATAATTGGTCGGCAGAATTAATTTTTCCTCTCAATCTGTAGAGAGTAATCTAGGAGGAGTGTTTTTTACAACGGAAGTGCATAAAATCTCATCAAAGAGTTATTAAAGTTTTTATTGAGTTTATCTCACATTTTTATGAGTAGTAATTCTTTCAAACATGACTTTCGATCCCCTCAGTGTCGTGAGTCTATTCCCTTGATTTCTTCGAATGCAGTAAAATGAAAGGAATGAAGAAAATTATTGATAAATTGAAGAAGTTATCGGTAGAACGGATTTTTACATGAAAAATTTCCCATTTGTTCGTTATTTTCGTGAATGATAATCTTGTTTTTTCAATGAATTACTGCACCATCGTTTATCGTTTAAATGGCGTGATAATTAATAAATAACGACGAAGATATAACCCAATAGCCCTTCATTGAAGACTGTTGATGATTCTTTAACTGTCTTGGAGTCATTCATCTCCAATCGTTCAGTGAATGCCCTTAATTATCAACTTCATTCTCTTCAAACTCCATTAAAATTACGCGTTTGATACGCGGAGAGAAAAATGTAGTGAAAAATAAATATACAATGAGATCCCCTTTCAGGCAGTTTTTCATCTGAGAATGGGTAAAAAAATGTGGACAAAAAATAGATTTTTCTCTTTTATTTTGGCTAATTTATCGCATTTTGAGGGTAATTTCTGCTGGAATAATAGTATTTCCAGAAAGTTCATGAAAATTACGCAACGAAAATTTTAGAATCGCGAGGTGTTAGAGTGACATTTTCCATACTTTTAAAAATGGCAATTTATTTTGGGATTTTAAAGGTTTTAAAATAAGATTTTTATTTGAAGTTAACAATTCTTTAGTTGAAAGTTTGGACGGTCTCAATTTGTAATTGGGAATTTTTAAAAATTGCAATTTTTTA